TTTTATTATTTTCTTCCTTCTGCTTGTCTGTTTAATTTGCTTCTTTCTCTGGTTTATTAAGGTGAAATCATACATTACTGGTTTTAGATCTTTTTTCTAAAGGTTTAAATATTATTTTAAGAGATATTATCTATGTATTTCTTTTCAAAGTTAAAGTGAATTACAATATCAATGTGTAATATGACATTTGCTCAACTGTGCTTCTGCCATTTTCTTTGTCCTTCCTGTTGCATGGTGATGCTAGCATTCATTTGATTAATGCCATCTTTTACGTGAACAACATACTATATATATATATAGTATGTTGTATAATGACTATAATTTTTTAAGTACTGAATTAGTCATATCCCAAAATTTTGGTATGTTTTTAATACTAACATTGTGTACAATGTTTTAAAAAAATTTTACTTGAACCAGGCTTGGTGGCTCAGCCTGTAATCCCGCACCTTTGGGAGGCTGAGATGAGTGGATTGCCTGAGCCCGCGGGTTCGAGACCCACTGGGGCAGCAAGATCTCATCTCTACAATAAATCAAAAAATCAGCCAGGTGTGGTAGCACATGTCTGTAATTCCTGCTACTTGGAAGGCTGAGGCAGAAGGATCGCTGGAGCCCAGCAGGTCGAGGCTGCGGTGGCCGGGAGTGGCCACTGCACTCCAGTCTGGGTGACAGAGTGAGACTCCAACTAAAAAAAAAAAAAAAAGTTTCCAAATTAGTAAAAAAGATTTAAAAAAAAATTTTTTTACTTGAAATTTATTTTGTGACCTATCAGTTATTTAGAAGTATGTGAGAGTTGGATTCCAATATTTGGAGGATTATCTTGATATGTTTTAGCTAATTCTTATTATGGCCTAAGAAATATATATTATGGTTTTTGGTATTTTGTACTTGTTAAGGTTTGTTCCGTTGCCCAGGCTGGAGTGCAGTGGCACACTCACAGCTACCCTGGCATCAACCTGGGGGCTTGGTCAATCCTTCTGCCTCAGTCTTCCAAGTGGCTGGAACTACAGGTGCATGCTACCACACCTGGCTAATTTTTTGATGTATTGTAGAGATGAGGTCTCACCGAGTTGCACAGGCTGGTCTCAAACCTGTGGGCTCAGGCAATCCTTTCACCTCAGCCTCCCAAAGTTCTGGGATTACAAACTTGAGCCATCATGCCCAGACAAACATATTCTTTAGCTCTGCATTTTTTAACCCTAGCCTGTCTGATTCTGTCATATAGTTTTCATATTTTTCCTAAAATTATATCTCTGATCTTGCATGTTGTCTGTATTCTTCATCAAAACCTCTAAGATATTAATCATAGTTATTTTAAATTTCTTGTCTGACAAGTTCAACATCTGTGTTATATCTATATCTGGTTCTGATTATTACTTTGTTCAGCCTGATTTTTTTGTATCTTTGTTTTTGTTTTGTTTTTTTTTCATTTTGTTATGCCTCTTTAGTTTTGAGTAAGCATCTTGCATATTACATATGAGGACAGTTACCAGGATGTTTAGAATAATCTCTGGCCTTAACCCATTACATAGGAATAGTATCCCTCCAGTTGTGACAAAAGATGTCTACAGACATTGCCAAATGTCTTCTGGTTGGAGCAGAGAGGCTATGCCCCAGTTGAGAACCATTACTTTAGGGATATGTTGTTTTGCCTCCTGCTTTGGCATTGAGTCCTTACTTCTTATGCTGCTTCCCAGAAATTCTGTCTCTTGCGTCTCTCCAGCTACATTCTCCTCTTAATTTTTTCTGGAGGTTTTGTTAGTTAGTGGTGGTGGTAGGTAGTTACTGGTAGGTAGTAGGTACTGGGAGGGAAGAATTCTTTGATGTTTTGTTTCAACCTCAGCATTAGACAGTGCTGTGAACCAAGGTCTCAGATGCATGATTCTACTAGATGTTGTCTTCTCTCCAGGGGAAAAGACCCTTTCAGTCTCTCCCCCTGCTGAATTGAATATCTGCCAGTATCCCCAAGCAGTTATTTTAATGCCTCCCCCTATGTACTAAGGCTTCTCTTAGAGAAAACATGGGTTTCCATCCAAGCTCTACACAGATTTTAAGTCTCCCCTGAAACATGGTTTCACTGCTTAAACAACAACAAAGTCTGAAAACTACTAGGCTACAGGAGCTCCAAGGTAGTGCTTAGTACTCAGACACCAGAGTCCACAAGGAGCTTCTCATTCTCAGATGCATTAGATCTGGGCCTTGCCCTAACCTAGCTTGTCATCTTGAAATAACACCCTTGAAGAACCAGAGTTCATTCCCCACACTATTTGTCACATTTGAAAAATCACTCAAAGTGTCTAAAGGTCTCTTTGGCCTTTCCAAACAGTCCCACAAGGGCAGAAGTTCATGCTATATCCTTAAGTGAAAAAAAGCAAGCTACAAAGAAATATAAATACTTCCATTCATTTCATACAAATATACAGCTGAATCTAGATGAATAAATGATACAAAATATAAATTACATTACTTTTATGAATGCAGACTCTATTTGAAGCATTTAGTGTATATTAACTCATGTTTTGTCCTCAGTCATTGATGAGGTAAATGATATTATCTTCAATTTATGGACGAGGAAACTGATGCACAGTAATTAATCACAAAATTTAACTGAAGTTATACAAATACATAGAACAAATTTCTGGAAAAGTTGTAAGACTATAGGTGATATTTGCTCTTTTGCTGGTGTATAATTTCTGAAAAGAATTGGCATGACTTATGTAACCAAACAGCAGAGGAGACAGAGTTCCCACCCTTACTTTTTCATGTTCTCATTCGGAGTCTGAGTAGTGAAGGCCTCAGTTGTAGTTCTGCTTGGGATTGAGACAATGAGCCATTAGGATTTTTAGATGGTTCACTGCTCTATGTAATATGAGAGGGTAGAAATCTTAATTCAGTTGGCGGGAGGAAGTGGTTGCCATAAAATGCCCTTAGAAAGAACCCTTACCCTTAAAGTCTCCTCCTTTTGACTAATAATAAGTCTTCAGCCTGCCCTAACAGGCTAGACTCACTGTCAGGCCAAAGCTCTAGATAAGCCAAACTAGCAGAAATTCTATGTTCATCCACAAAATTGACTCCATGAGAACCAGATATTTGGCACCAGCTCATGCTGGTATTCTATTGGGTTGCTCATTTTTAAATTGATGTTGTTAATTTGCTTTAAGTCTCTTCATCTAATTTTTTCAATGAGATTGTAAATGTGAAAAAAACAGACTATATAGAAATATGAACAAAAATATGAACGACAATGATGCTCTTTTATAAAACACTTCCTCATTTTTCCCAGAATGCATTAATAAATGGTAGTTGAATATAATGGGATCAAATTTTTTTTAGTCTCCTCCTTGAAGACCAAGAATTGATTTCCTTAAGTGGAAAAGGATGGGTGGTTTATCTGATTTTGGCAATGGCTGCTATTTTTCTCTCCCAGTCAGTACCACAGGAGGGGAAGATTTCTCTTGAATTTCCTGATTTTTCCTTGAGATCCTCATGGGGTTCCTGTTGAAAATGGATAGGATGCGGATCCCTCTATGTCTGTGACCCTGAAGGTTTTTGTACACTCACTATAGCCTGGCTTTGGTCTTTAGCTGTAGATTAAAACTACTTTGTTTATCTATACACATCTTTTTATGGCTTCCGGTAGAATCTGCCCCAGATATATATATGTGTGGGTCCTGTTTTCTCTGTGCTTATATTTGTCTATATCTAGAATCTGATTTAATTGTTTGTTTCCTTACCTCTATTCTCTAATGGCTTCAAAAAACCCCATTAACTTCTAGTTTAACTATAGGAAGGCAGAAGAAATAGTCCCATCCATCTCCATTTCTGAGTGGAAACTGGAAGACTCTATTAGGGTTTAGGATGGCCCTGCATGTTCTCACTGGCTATTATTTTTTGAAACCTGGAACAGATCAATGATACCACATCATGGTTAATTTTTATATTTATTTTAGTAATCTTTGCTATATAATTGCTTCCATTTTCCTCTTAGAAATTAAATCATTTGAATAGGCTACTCCTATTTTTTGCATAGTGTCCCTCAAATGTAATTGTCTAATACTCTATCATGGTTACTTGAAGGTAAAATATTTTTGGCAAGAGTACTACAGAGGTATTTTGTGTCCTTCATGTTCTACCTCTGTTTGTACACTTTGAATTACACAATTCAACTTATCAATTATACCTCAGTAACACTGGGGATAAAAAGAACTAGCAGTGGGGTAGAATTTTGACTATGTGAAGGTTAGGCTCTTCCCCCAAATCTATGGACTTAATCATTTTATGTTCCATTAATGATTCTTGCCTGATTTAATTTCTGTTTTTGTATTTGTAAAATGGTAATTTTTCACCATTCCTTCTACTTTATCAGTTGGCCTCCCCAGAATTAGATAATTAGCATTCGATTACATTATTAAGGACACAGGTTCTTTCCACTTTTGTATTAAGCTTTGAGTATTGACTTTTGTCTTAGACTGATAAACATGGAGGCCACAAAACGGCTATGCAAATGGGTACTAAATCCAAATAATATCCAGCGGCAGAGAGCAGTTATTTCTTCCATGTGATTCTTCTGTAGCAAGAACACGTTTTACAGAATTATCCTGAGTCTTACATTCTTGTTTCATTGGCCAGAATTGGAACACATGCCTTATGTTAACCAATCAGAAATAAAATGGGGAAAACCTGATAGCTTTGGACAAAATAATAAGTGTCTGCCTGTGTCTAGAGACCTGTGATTTCTATGTATTTATAAAAGAGGAAACATAAAAAACACTGAATTTCTAATAAGGAGTTTTTAAAAGTGCTGTAAGTCAAATTTAGCAAGAAATAATACAATGTTATCAATCTGTAGCACTCTTTTTGTGCCTCATTATGGTATTTTAGCCACATACAGAACATAGCCTGTCCTGCTACAGGGCATTCATATATTAGTGAGAGATGTCTTAAGCTCACCTCACATGCCAGGGGGATAAAGAATTACTCTTTCTTTTTATTTTCCCAGAAACATGGATTTTGCATGGACCATGCAGTGTTACCCCAGTGAGCTCACCTGCTCCATCTGCACAGACTATTTCACAGACCCTGTCACCATTAGCTGTGGGCATAGATTTTGTAGCCCCTGTCTCTGCCTTTTGTGGGAAGATGCCCAAGCTCCTGCTTGCTGCCCTGCATGCAAGGTGTTATCACAGAAAATGGACTTTAAAAGCACTATTTTTGTGAAAAAAGAAGAATCAGTCATTTTCCCGTTACCAGCCTCTGAAATTCAAATCTGTAGGAGACACCAAAACATTAAGAACCTCTACTGTGAAACTGACAAGAACCTGCTATGTTTCCTCGGCTCTCAATCCCCAGAGCATGCCACTCACAGACACTATCCAATAAATCAGGTTGCTGGATACTACAGGGTAAGTAATGCCACTGATTGCACTTTGAAATGTGGAGAACTTGGATCCTACAGGAAATGAGAAGAGATACACAGATTATTATTCTTTTTCTGCCATAAACAAACAGAATGACTAAAGACTATGTGTTGGGTTACTATTCTAAACATGAGAGTAAAAGCACCAAAGAAACCAAGAAAACATCTCTGCTCACCTGAAATTTAAATTCTGTTGCGCTTAGGGAGAAGAATGATGATGAAATTGATGAGCATTAGAGTTCTGGTATTTCAGTGTAAGTAAATGTGAATATATCACTATTTTCAGTAACATTCACTGGCCAACACAGCCATGATTACAATGAGGCTACTCTGATAATAGCAGATTCTAAATAAACACTGGCCAATATATTCTAATAGTGCCATAGATAAACTGAGGGCTAACATTTCAAAATTAAAATGAAGCAAGATTCACTTCTGAAAACTGACCAGGTTGTATACAGTTTTAGTGTTAGATTCCTCAGATAGTGAACTGTGTTTTCTAAATCCAGGAACTCTGTCTTTGTTTGATTGACCTCTCAGATTTGACAGTCAGTGTTTCCAAGGAAATCCCTGATACCTTTTCTCTCTATACATTTTAATTGTCTCCTTTCTGTCCCATGACTCTTTTAAAAGTATCTTATATGTAGTATATTTGATTTTCTAGTGTTCAATTTATATTTCCTTTGCAGGAGAACCTCCTGATGCAAATGAAGTCTATTTGGAAAAAGAAACAGAAAAATCAAAGAAATCTAATCAGAGAAACCAACATAATCAGAGTATGGGAGGTAACCAGTAGGTCCCATTTCCCTCAGAACCAGTTTGGTACAGATTTCCAGGGAAATAACTTGAGTTTGATCATAATATCCTCTGAGTGAGATGATCAGAAAAAAAAAAGCGCTATGTACGCTTATCTACAAGATAACATTAATGCCAGGTGGGGTGTGGTGTAGTTGTTCCATGGATTATTGACTCCACCACAGAAAAGAATTTCAGAGCAAGTTGAAAGTATAGTTTAAAACCAGATTTATTAGCAAGAAAACATATGTTCAAGAGAGAGAGTGGGGGTCTTATAAAAAACAACACGTTAACCTATTGTTGACAGAGTATTTTATATATTTTCTTAGTGATGAGTGAGCAACCTATTTCTTAAACTATTTCTGTGCTATGTGGTGGGTTACTATCTATTGATCTCAAGTTCCTACTCTTATTGTCTACTTCTATGCTTACTTGTTTCGTGTGGAAGTCTCCAGATAAAAGTTACTATTTTGTGTTTTAATTAAACTTCTTCCTGTAAACACCATTGCCCAATTCCTCTGGTAATTCTTTTACTGCCTTGTTTATGGTTTCTGTAGCTGAGTATATCAGCCACTCCACATTCTGAGACTATGCTCATGTGCTTGGTCCATCTAGAGAGTTACACCCTATAAGATGGTGCCCAGCTGTATGCCTGACCATCTCGTTTTCTAATTAAGCTATGCTTGCCTGCAAGAAACTCATCTATTTATCTAAGGTATATTAGCTACCTTGTCTATACTTCCCCCTATGATTTTTTTTTTAATCCTATAATCATATGAAGTACAGGGGGAAGAAGGTTCATCTTCTGTAACTTCTCCAAAACTGATGAGGCATGTAGGCCTGCCTAACCTGGGACTGAAAATCTCTTTCTGTTCTAATGCATGCATGTTGGTCTTAATGATGGCCTCATTCACAGACAATAGTTGAAATCCTTGCATGACCAACATATGGAAATGAACTTATTTGATTCTGGAAGAGACAAATTTATCCAGGCAGTTAAAGAGACAAACCAAAAATCAGCAGGCTTGTAATTATTTTAATAGGCCCAACATATTGGATGACACAGGCAAAAGAAGGCATGGAGTTTTTAATAGTGTTCCACATAGTATTGGCAGTAGGTGCTCCTTGTGAAACCCATGGAGCCATTTAGCCTTATGATAAATTGTTTTCTGCAAACTTGTCCAGTGATGTTTATACAAATACAAGTTTTATGAATGACTGTACAAACTCCTCCTTGTGCAACAAGCAAGTAACCTAAAGTCAAACAGTTATCTAGCACTACATTTTCAAAAGAATCAATAGATTTAGATAAAGCCTTTAAGGCATCACAGTAGATTGAAACAAAGAATCTAAAGATGCAGTAGTATTTTTTAAGGTAGCTTCATGACATGCAAATTCTCCCATGGTGTTAAAAATCCAATTGTGGTTCTAATTCCTGTCAGCACTAATCCAAGCATTCACCTGGGTCTGGAATTGGTGGCATCATAAACAGTTACACTGAATCTTCCATAACTAAGAGTGCCCAAAGTGCACCGACCCAACATTTGAGCATTATCTATACAAGGAATACCATGTGCCTTTCCAGGCCTTGGGTAGCAGCCATTGATTTGGCATAATATGCCAAAATTCTTTTTTTAGATTGCCTAAAAATTTCTGCATATCTTTTTGTGATTTTTCTTATCTAGGATGATGCTTAATGTGGGTCCCTAGGTGGATTCCCTATGACAAAGGGGAGATAGAGGCCTCCTTCAGAAGAGAAGATCTATTGTCCCTTCGGGAGAGCCTGGGTTCTTCTGTCTGTTATGCCAGGGAATTCTCATCTGTCCTATCCAAGAGGTGTATCCAAAGATTTTTCAACTATTCCCCTCCTGGCCTGGATGTCAATGGGTTAAATTATACTGGCAAGCAGAGAAATTAAATGTAGCCAGATATACTGACAATCCAGGTGGTGCCTGATCACTTTTTGTACAAGGCTACAAGGTCCTCAGTTACTAGCACAAATTAAATGAAGTCCAATGATTTCATTATCAGTAGTAGTGAGATTATCACAAGGAAATGGCTGAGTAGGGAAGGAAATCTCAAGGGAAATTAATTTTAAAATCTGATCAGGTTTCCCATGGATAACAGTAAAATGAATGGGAGACAGGGTAGCATGGAAAAGCCACTTCTCTAGTTTTCTAGGAGATTCATGGCATAGTTAACATTCCCCTAGTTGTTCATTTGTGGCACTTGTCTGGGAAAAATTGAGAAGAGTATTTTGCTCCCATTTCCTGTTCTCAAAGAATAGAGGCAAAGCATATAAATAGTAAAACAGAAAAGAATATACATTTCTGAACACAGGCTTTTGACATCCTCAATCATTTTGGTCAGGTTTCTACCAGAGGAAAAGTTTCAGGTCTTTTATTGGCTTACAGGAATAGGAAGGTTAATTGGCTGTGGTAGGTTCCTCAGTCAGTGGAGATTCAGGAGGCATTAGTTTAACTCTAGGTATGTGTACCCAACTAATGATTCCCTGCAGTTTTTCAGTGGTAGGTGTGCTAAGAAGAACCTGGAACTGGTCTCGTAGAGAGCAATTTTTCCATATTTTAAGTAAAACCAAATCTCCAGGCAGAACCAGTGGTGTAAAGGGAATTTTGTCTGGAACTGGGAGAATTTTGTTAACATACTCTTGAAAGCTTTCTCTACTTGTCCCATGCTAATAATGTGTTGGGTTATTTCTAAGGATTTTCTATCTTATAAAAAATCAGAGCCCAAGAAGGGCTGTCCATACAGCATTTCAAAAGGACTTAAGTGAACATTTGGTGTGATTTGAGACCTGAGTAAAGCTATAAACAATAACTGAACCATGATTCTGATGTTTCCTGGCATGATTTTCTAAGCATTTTCTTCAAAAAGTGATTTTTTTCCCCTACTTCTCCTGAGGACCAGGGTCTCCAGGAGGAATGTAAATGATATTTAATCCATAAGGCTGTTGATACTGTTTGAATGATTTTAGCTATGAAAGACGGTCAATTGTCACTCTGGAAGTTTTTAGAAAGCCCAAAATGGGGGTGATTTCTTTTAACAAGAACTTAACTACATCTATGAACTTTTCAGTCCTAGAAGGATAAGTCTCAATCCAACCAGTGAATTTGTCAATAAATACTAAAAAGGACCGATGCTTGGAGCTTGTGTAAACTCTGTTTTCTGATCTTCCCCTGGATAATATCCCTTCTCTGTATTGGTAGGAGTAAGGCTTGTTTCTTTAGATGCCCTGCTGGGCCATTTATACAGTGAAGAGAACCTGAGTGAGTTACTTCTCTCATCATTCTGTGTATTCCTTTCCATGTGAAAGATTGTGGTGTTAAGTTTTCTAGGGCATCCCTACCCAGGTGTGTGAAATCATGTAATCCCTTAACAATCTACCAAAGACTATTCTTGTGCATTTACCCTTCCCATCATTTTCCTTAAAACCTCCTTGTTTTGCCCAACGTGTGTGTAGCAGCTTGTTTTGTTACATGGTCAGCAAAAGCATTTTCCTGGGTCATGAGAGAATCTTCCTTGGATTCCCCTACAATGGGACACAGCTACCTCCAAATGCTCCTAAAGAGTTAAAATTCCAGGCCCATGTTTTATGGGGGAATTCTTTCCTATTAACATACTCTACTATTTTTATTTAGCAACATGAGCATGAATGACTATGGAGGCATACTTAGAATTTGTATAAATATTCATTTTTTTCCTTTCCCAGTTGGAGTGCTTAAGTTAGAGCTATCAACTCTGCTTTCTGGACTGAAGTATTATGGGGAAGCTCTCATGCCTCTATCACCTCATGTGAGCTCACCACTGAACAACCAGTTTTTCTGACTCCTTGTTCAACAAAGCTGCTTCTATCCATAAACGATTCCTAATCTGGGTTAAAGTCTCATTTTGGAGGTCAAGTCTGCTAGAATACATCTCCATGGTTTCCACACAAGAATTAATTAATTCACAGACTTTGAAACTGGCATAGGGTGGCTCAGTTTAAAGGCTGACATTTCTTTAAAGTGACTTCTGGAGTATCAAGGAGAAGAGTCTGATATTTAGGTAACCTTCTGCCTGTCACCCACTGATGCCCTATGGTTTCTAACACACTTTGAACCTGGTGGCTGTTGAAAACCTCCACAGGCTAGTCACAGGTTAACTTTGTAGTCTCTTCCATGAATAAGGCAGTTACTGCCAATGTCTGAAGACAGGCCGGCCAGGCAGACCACCCATTACAGATCGTGTCCAGTTGCTTAAAGAAGTAGGTAACTGATTGGGGGTTTTACCTAGCATTTGAACAAGAACCCCTGTGTCCATCCCATGTTTTTCAACTGTATTAACATAGAAAGATTTTTCTAAATTAGGCAAGTCAAGTGCTACAGCAGAGGCTAAAGCCTTGTTTAAATCATAGAAACTTCTCTGACACTCGGATATCCGTTCAAGGGGCTCAGGATCTATACCCTTTGTGGCCTCATAAAAGATTTAGCATTAATGCCAAATTTTGGAATCCACATTCTACAGAAACTGGCCATCCCAAAAAGGCTCTCAGCTGCTTGCAAGTATTAGGAAGCTGTAAATTTAGTGGGGCTGTTTTTCTTTCTACTATTAAAATCTCTTGTCCTGGGTTTAAAATGCAGCCCAACTATTTTACCTATTGTAAATAGGTTTGAACCTTTTTAGAGGAAACTCAGTATCCTCTCTGTTCTAAAATGTTTAAGGTTTAAATTGTAATATTTCAAAGAGCTTTCTTTGGTAGAACTACAGGTTAATAAGTCATCAACATAGTATTATGCCTGATTTTAAATATAAATCTCTTAAATCATGAGCCAAAGCATTGCCAAACAGGTAGAGACATTCAAAGACAATGTGGGATACTGGTAACCTGATGCCAGATGTTTTGGAGAACCTTGGCCTCGTCAGTCTGTTGCCACCATTTCCAAGTTAGGTGTTCCCTCTTCCCTTCAAGAGAGGGTGCATCACTCTTTCC